TTCAACTGCCGCCGCATGCACTCGCACCATTCTTTATCCCTACACCAGATTCGGGGATTAAGGGACAAAGCTACGAACCATACATATATTAATATGTAGTCCTTTAGGCTCAAAGGGTCTGAGGGGTTCACGGGCGATGCTGAATTTATAACTTTTTTTTTCATATTCTCGTTCCTAGTATTTAATACCGTATTTAAGACATGCATTTATTATTATATAATTTTGCATGTATGTGCGTACATTATTATTTGTGATTGTATTATATATGGTGATGTGGTAAGTGTATGGATGATATTCAAATAAATATTACGTTAAAGTTAACGGATATCATTTAACGTAAACAGTAAATAAATAATTATTACAGGCCATGGATATCCACAACATTAAATACCTAAATTTATTTATCATTTTTGAAGTAGGGTGAATTAAGGTATTTTCATGGCATAGGAAATTTCGTGATATTATTTGTTGAACGAACAATGAAATTCCCTACTACAAAATTTATTTTAAAATTACAATGATCCTTAAAATGACTGTGTTTTTAAGGATCAATGTAATTTTTAAGTCAATCAAATAATAATGACAAACTAATAATATCACGAAAATACTTTACTTCACCTTATACCATATTAATGTGGTTTTGCGATGAATTTTTGATCCAAATTTAAATGAACATAATCTATTATTCTCCATGTTCACCAAAAAATATTATTACAATCAATAATTTTTTATACTAAAACACCACAAAATTACTTTCAAAAGCCAGAATACATATTTTTCTAGTACTGAATTATAAAAAGTAACGATTTTTTTCATTTTCACCCGTTGATCTTTCTCAGATGATAAATAAATAATACAATATTCATACTAATGTGTAATGTAAATTTCTTTGTAAAAGAAAATGTAAATTGTAATGTAAATTTAAATTGCATTATTTTTTTTTTTCACTCATGATATCAATCATGTATCTTTTTTTGAACGAAAGCTGATTTAAATTTATTTAACCGTTATTGCTGGTTGGATATAACATTTTGAGTGCACGATAAGACCGTTTCTTGTACTCAAGGCCGGATTGGATAAATTCGGCCCACCGAATTTTCTGTATGTTACCGGCCCACTTACTAACTGGCGGTCCTTGTCCAAATTTTTTTAATCGCATATTTCAAAAGGTGCACTAATCTTCAACTTTAAACTATTAATATTTTCTGTTAGAGGCCTTTCACAACTTAAAAGGTCAAAAATTGTCGCGGCCCACCGAGTTTTACTCGGTAACTCGCTGAGCTAATCCGGCCCTGCTTATACTCAAGACTGGGTATTAGTAAATTAAAAAAATTTAAGTGAAGTTAAAAATTTAAGTTACTTTTAACTAAATTACATAAAGTGTTACTTTTTTTTTTAAAAAAAAAAAAGTAACTTCTATTTTCACGACGGTCGAGCACTAATTCATTCCAGTCTAAAATACGAGGAGTGTGCATACCAAACGAGTTTCTAGGTTGTTGATTAGCCAAAAGCGTCTACGGAGCGCTAGGGCATCCCGGTATACACGCATCATACTGTTACACTACCGTGTAGTAAAACAAAATAACAATAAAACAGGCGGATGATTTGATAAAAGTCCGTCACCTCCGTTTAAATGAAACATTATAATAAGAAAAAAATACCGCGACCGGTGCTCTTATGGCACGGGACTCAATAATAACAATGCGTAAATAACACGTGAAAGGTTATTAGATTGCTAACGTCACCTGATAGTCTAGTAAACAAACTCGAACCTCTAGGGTTTAACGTGGCAAAAAGGGTAGGTGGAACTCTAATCCATATATCATTCTCAGTACTCTATGTAGTCCCATATAATTACAAGGTAATTAATTATAAAAAAGTAAACATATATAGATATATATTATGTGTTTTAGCGAACGATTTCCTCCATAAACTATGCAAGTGCTGTAAAAATGTATAATGTATAATGTTATAATAATATTACAATAATTTATAATTTTATAATGTTTGAATATTAGTTTTGTTTATGAAAAACTGTTAACACCTAGTGACATCAATTAAATTGCAAAGCCAATTTATCAACTGTTTTATGTATATGGTTATTTTTAACATATAGTTGAGCGTTTCAGTAAACTTTACGGAGAAATGTCAAAAGGGACTCTTTATAAGCGCTGTGAGAGGTAGGGGGACTGGTTCTCCTTGCGTCCTCCCACCGTAAAGCCCTGCAAATCCCTTGCATCATTCCTTGCCCTGTGACATCATCGTCGTACATAATCGGCGACCTGCCATATTCCATACGTATTTCGCCGAACAATTTACTCTATTTCTCTTTGAAAAAAAATAGAAAGTTTAAGTTTTCGAAATTTGACTCTTAAATTATTACTTAAATTAAAAATATTATAAAGAACAGATTTTATCAATCATATCTACTATTTCAAATATTGTTCAATAAGTATTGTAAGACGAGAATTGTTGAAGAGTTAATATTATTATACATTACTAACTTTGTTCTGACAATTTCTTTTATAGACTAGTGTGTCATATAATTTCCAATTTGATGAATTTAGAACCGTTCTGAAGGGAATCCCTGATGATGATGACTCTTATTTTAATAATTCTTATACATTTACTAGACGAATAAATAAATAAAATAATTTTAGAAAAATCTTTATACATTTTTAATAATAATAAAGTAAAAAATCGTGATTATATATTTAATTTGTAGATAATAAAAATAATAAAAAAATAATTTGATATTATTATTTACAAATCAAATTAAATTGGTAGAAATTACGATACGTTAAAAATATCTTCCTATAGAAAAATAATTTACATTCTATGAATGTCGTATAAGTTTAAACTTGTACAATAATAAAAAAAGTGGTTACTTTTTGATAATTCTTTTTGAATTTTTGGTGATTAGTAATATAAAGAATATAATTTATCCGTAAATATTTTAAAATGATTTAATCAAGTGACTTAATTCACAACATGATTAACGGCAAGCCTCTTGAATTTATACTTACACAAAATAAGAATTTCTATATTATTTTATATTTTGTCGAAAGGAAATTTAATCATTTTAATCCTCTTGCTAGCAAGCTATCAGAAACGTCTTATTAAATGAAAATTTTTTCAAAATTTTTCACGAACCGGAAGTTTTAAATTATAATTTTAACCGATCGCAACGGAAACAAAAGCTAATATTTCGTAACAGAATGCACTAAACGTCAATTTTAAGCACTGAATATAAATTTTTTCAATGTTCTATTATTGTTATCATTAATGTGCATAATTTAAATGTTAAGACTTCGATAAAAAAATAATAATCCAGTAAAATTTAAGAATATTCTGATCGTACTTATAGATATATTTTTGTATAACATTAAAACCCAAACAAAAAAATGTGATCATCATTGCTCAAATTATACTTTAATATTTATATGTATCCTTGATATCGGATAAACTAGGTGTACGAATGTTATCTGGAGTATATCACGTGATCACGTGTATCTTTTGAATTTAATTTTGAGTTATGATGTGAATACATTTTAAATGATTATGAAAAGAAAAAATATTCATCGTATAACCAATACATTCCGCGGCACGTAAAACGATGCTGAGCTAATAATTAGGTACAAACCAACATTTCAAGTACAAATTTTAATAAAATATGATCAAGCATATTATACATATACAGTGCTAGGCAATAACTTAAGTTATGTATCTAAAATATTTAACTGAGTGACATTTGTAACTTATACCTTGTATTTAGTTATATTTCTCCTTGAATCTTGCATTTAAATACTTTTTTAGTAGTAACTTGTAATTAAAAGATAATAGTTACTTTAATATTATTTTTTTAATTGTTTTTATTTAAAAAATGTACATTGTATAATCATCGATTAATGTACACAATTCAAACATAAAATGAACGGAAATCTAATTTATCTTAATGTGTAAGTTATACAAATGACATTCACTAAATTATATATTATTTTATTAACCATAATTTATAGGTAAACTATAAAAATTGCTGATACTGCCTGAACTTCAATATTCGAAAAATTGGGTGCAGTGTTCGTTATCATGGTAACCAAATAAAAGTAATTTACAACAAGTTTCGATGAACACTCTTTGACGGTCAGAGTCTTACTACTAACATGTCAAATAATACGTCAAGCATTTACGTAAATGTATACAGTAAAAGTAAAACAGTACTGTTTTTAAAAGTTTGTATGTCAATTTAAAAAAAGTAAAAAATATGTCTAAAATGTGAACATTTTTATTTGTTATTTTCATAGATAGTCTCAGATGGGTTAAAATCTTCTTTAAATAAGTAAATTTATATATTTATCAGATCATTCAACAACAAAATATTACCAGTAATATATTGTTTTTATTCTTCTTATATATTTCATACTTCTTTCCACACAATGATTTACTTGTTGTTATGTATCCGATGTGAATAAATTATTTATTAAACTGTAGACATTGCACAAATTTTTTATTTCCTTTCATGAAATAGCTTATTATGTCGGCAGCACATATCCAACAGTATTAAAAAAAAAAAGTTTACAAACAAAGTATTGTTTGATTGTGAAATGTTTTTAGATACATAGATAGCATATATTCCGTTGAGACTCCAATAAATAATAGAAAAAATTAGTTAATCAAATGTAGTTGAAATTTATAAAAAAAAAAAAAAAAAAAATGGAAACTAATAATAAAAAAATTTATTGATAACTTAATGTATTTAAGTTTTAAATTCTCAGTGTTTTAGTTTCGGACGAAACGAAAAACATTATTAGGTATACAGCTTAATATCAAGTTCAGAATTATTGCAATTAAGAAATTTGTGATATTATAATAAAATTATAATTATAATCAAATTCTTACTAATGAATTACGTTTTTATGAATATTGTACAAGGATCATAATATAACACAAATTCGATCTTTCCACCGTTCGTAAAATATATTTGAACATAATCATTTAAATTATGTCTTTTTGCCCGCAATAGCCTTTTTCTTTAACACGGTAGAAACAGGTATTACTCGCGGCACTTTTACCTTGTACAGTCTGTACTCGTTGGGAAGTTCATCATTGGTGTACAGTTTTTCACTGAAGTAAATTCTCCTAAGCCGGCAGTTGGCGTGCACCTGTACGCGAACAGCTTCCACGAAACCGGTGTTATACATCTGACTGGTGAAATCCGCCAGATTCAATTGTATTTGAGTCCATCCTTCGGTCAAGCACACTGGCATCGAGCACATATGGATGCTCACCCTAATGGACTTGGAGTAGTTGCTTATGCGGAATCTCCGACGAATATTTTGATCGTCCAATACCTGTTTTTAACGCAAGAAAAATATCGAATACAATTCATTAACATAATACCAAATTTCGCCTAAGTATTATTATCATATTATTTTCTATCAGCAATGTCATCAATCTTATCAACATTTTTATCATTATTAACAATATTATCAAATACCGGAACATATGTTTTATTTTCATATATTCCTTACGATTCATCACGAACAATTTACTGACGTGATATAGTTAAAAAAATTGATTACAAAAATACCATATATGTTTAAATGTTTCAAAATAGGATATTGGTGAACTTACTAAAATCTTTTCAGTATAATTTGACGGGGACACGAGTTAGAATCCGGCCTCCGGTATTTTCATTTTCCGGTTAAGATGACCGTTTCATTAAAAGGAACCACCACCTTATTCTAATTAGTTTTAAGTAAATTACGACTTAAAAACTATTTCGAAATAACATAGATCAGTTACTAAAATCTCAAAAAAAAAAAAAAAAATCGTTTTAATATTTTTCGTAGTTCCTCTAATTCCAATAATAATTGTAACTATACATAATATATTTTTTGCTTTCATTTTATACAAAAACAATGTCAAAAAATAATTGTGTTTGTCCACGTCCTTTAAACCTTATTATACATTTCAAAATAACTATATACTTAAACGTTGACATCATTATACCCTATAGCAGTAATGCCTAACCCTTATTCCTAAGAAGGACACTTTGGTAAACAATTATCATTGAGCGGGCTACCAATATAAAAGTACAAATAATGTCAATATTAATCATATAATAGAATTTCGTTACTCATGATAGGTAAATAATACTTGACCTTTATTTGTCTATTTGGAAATGGCTAAAAAGAAAATTAATAAATTAATAAAATGTTTTTTTTTTATATTTTGTTTTGTTTTAAAAGTTTGAAACGGGCCACATGTAATACCTTCGCTTGCCACATGTGGCCCGTAATCCGCAGACTGGACACCGCTGCCCAGTGGCGTGTCCAGAACTTTTGTTGTGGATGGGCCACAAATTTTTTTCTAACTATTTATAAATCATATTTAAATTTTCATTGATCATCCGACTTGCACTAGTCTAGTACTTATATAAAAATGTGGGTGGGCACATGCCTACCGGGCCCACCCCCTAAACACGCCACTGCCGCTGCCCCTATAGAGTTGCATTTTTATCGTAACACCAAATTAGTTTATGAGATTGTCTATTGATATATTGCAGGAGAATTGATCGATATTTTAACACGAATCCATTTCGTTCGCATTAAGCTACAGCCGGACTCTTGACGATTCGTTTTCGGTGCGATCATTACCCACGCACTTCGTCACTACACGGTACAAGTATAATTCGGTGATTGCGGTGATAGATTTCAGCACGCGGACTTACCGTTATCTCGGACGTGAAATATCGGCCGAGATTTTTCATTAACATCGTAAAGAACGGCAACCGGATGCCCAGCGAATCTGTTGGCTTCGACGGAGTGCTTATCGAACAAGCGTTGACGTTTTGCGACTGTATCTGAAGCACGCTGGACTTCATCACATCATCTTGGAGGAAACGATATTCGCTTTCTTTGCACTGTAATGAGGTGTATTATATTACGGCATAATCCCACTAGTACAGTAGATGTGCGGGTGCAATGGACGGAGCACGTATCAACACACACTCGGGGTCAGGAGCGGGTTTTATCAATCACCAAGGGAGGAGCTAATGGAGGTTCAAGAATTTAGTTAGTTGTTTTTTAAATCTATATAACATTTTAAATTACAGAATATGTTCTTGAGTCCCTCACAAGTAAGCCATTTTTTTCACGATAGTGACAAATTTTAAATAGTTACATTATTGGTATCAATTTTAACCTGAAACCATTTTAAAAACATAGGTATACACATATAATTAACAACAAAAATGAGCTATTTATTTTTAAAAAAAATATATAAAATAGGTACCATATTCATCAATGACGATTGACGATATTTTATAATAATTATTAATATATCATTATATCATAATATTTGGCTTTGTAAAATAGTTTATTCCCATCGAAGGAGCCAATACCCCCTTAGCCACCCCCTTAAACCCGCCCTTTCACAGGGTCAAACGTACTTGAATGGCCCAGTTGATTAACGGGTTGCTGCCTATACTGTAGAACACGGTCACCAACGATCCTTGATATTTTTCGTCAAACATATTCTGCACTAGATATGGCCTAATATAAATTACGTGATTTCTCTTATTTTTCTCTCGTTGGACTTCGCGTACGAAATAGTTATATTTATAAAACGTAAAATGCGATTAGACTTTCTCTTAATAAAACTACATCACATTAAATACATAATACCACTATTTTTTTTGCATAGAATACAATAATATTGTTGTTATGTACAAGAACACATTGATAGCAAAAGATAAATAATAAAACACAATATTTTAATGTTGCATCGCAATATAGCCAATATAACATGGTCGGTTATAATGATTTACTATTACTATTATACAAGTACATGTATGGGTAAGACATAAACTCGTTGACACGGCAAACTACAAAGAACAAATTTTTTTATGGAAACATTAATTTTTTTTTAATATTGGTACAATAAAGAACTTAACGTTTCAATACCATTGTCATAAAATGACGATTAAAATGTCAAGCATAAAAATTTGAAAGTGTCAATAACGGTTACTTACCAACTACATGTTTCATAGTGTTCTGTAGTATAGTATAATTTTTGCAATAAACTTTAAGTCTTTAAAGTGTTTATATATTATATTTATTGGCTTTATGAAAACCCACGGGAATAATAAAAATCTCAAAGATCTATCGATTATAGAGTTCGTAGAATAAATTTAAATTATATATAAGATCATATTTTCAGGTTTTATGTTGAAGAATTACGAATTAGCATCATATTTATATTTTTTATGTAAACAGTTTTCTACATAACCGTATTAAAAAAAAAAATAATATTATTAATATTAAGAGCTATCATTGTAATTTTTCAGATAATAAAAATCTAGTACATTATAAGAATAAAATTTATATTTCATGTAAAAAATCATCGAAATGCAATAATTTTTCAATCCAATAATTTAATATGATAACATAGATAACGTTTATATTACCTACTTATTATTATAACAATAATTTTACTGTAACACGGAAGTCGTTAAAAATACATTTGACTTATTGTTCCTCTCTATACTACATTTTTTATGTCTACAATTTTGTATTCAATATAAAAAATGTATAATCATAACTCTTGCTATTTTTAGACATGATATTTTTATTTTATGGTAAAAAACAGAATACACTTTGCGACATATTTTTGGCATTTAAAATCTCATAGGCTAAAAAACGCATTGTGAACATAAATTATGTAAAAAAATATACTTCAGATGAACACCTAAATCCATTGGGTGTGGTTTTGCTTTTGGGTTGAAAAAAGGTAATACACAAACTACATTCGGGTAAAAAGTAAGTAATGGTCGAATTACACACGGGCTCAGGCTCAAAAAAGGTATTGCAATAAAAATATCATACATATGAAGGGGCTAAACGTTTAGAAAACATTAATTACCCTTTCAACTTACAAGCTTAGGACTGAACATTTAATCATTGGCGTGGTTAAAAATTATTTTTTTTACGTTCCATATTGTTTATATATTTTATATATTTATATATATATAAGGAAAGTACATAGTATAATATATTATATTTATTATTATATGAAACGTCTTCTTTTTAACAATTAATAAATATTTTCAAATTTTAATTGTTTGTGAAAAAATAATATAAATTATCATATAAATTATAATTTTATCCACTTGTATTGTCGTTTGTGAACAAAATACGAATCATTCCAAATGAATTATAAAATTTCAAAAACTATATATAATTATACAAGATACATATATATGTACGTATACAAAAGATCTGCACTGGCCGTTTTTTTTCGACCCGATCCGAACCGAAACTTAAATTTACAAAATCCCTCACCCAAGTCCAGTCCTTAGTTTTTTTATAAGTCCAACCGGACCAGACCCGTTCGTAATATTTATAATTTGTTTTTTAACAGGGATCTATTTATAAATATCATAAAGACTAATAATATCATATATATGTATTTTTATTATGATTTGTGACAAGCCTACTCCATAAGTTTGGAACATTTCCTTATCTAACGTCAATAATTGGCATTAGTATAGTACTCCCATTTAATATTTAGGTAGTTTTATTTTCGACCGGACCGGTCCAAAGAAAAATATTACGATCCCACCCATAACCAACTCCCGATGCCGCATTTTCATATTATGGCACGGCCCGGTCCGTGCAGATTTCTAACGTAAACGATGTACCAAAATAGCATATTATAAAATAGCATAAAATAGCCCAGCGGTTCACGAACTTTTTTGGGTCACGCATCTCCAAAACAAAATAAAATTAATCGTGCCTTTCAATAAAACATTTTTTATTATTTAAATATAAGCAAATTACTTGTCGATCCAAAAAGTAAATATATGATGGTACAATATACAATATAAATATTTGCCTTGCTCCTCCTAGTTTCGGAACCGCTGCCGTATCCTATAATGGACAACCATTGATTTTATAATAGACAGATGACCCATGGTGTAGGGATTTTTGGCGACTAATATTATGTTTATACAAATTGTTGATAGGTAGTGTTGTATCAATTAATTAATAATTGGTGGTCGGTTTGTTATAACTATAAATTGTATCAAACAACCGATGTTTGTAACCGGCATTTATATCAAAATAGATTTCTAAATAAAACAAGCTACCTAGTTAAGATTATCAATATCACCACCTATCGGAAAATCAAAAAAATTAATTTTTCTTATGTATAAGAACAAGACTAAATTACTAATGAAGAAACAAGAATAAAAAACCGTAAATTATTTAAACAATAATAAATAAATAAAACCATAAAACAGTTATTAATTCAAATAAATAGTTAATAAATACAATCATAATAATACAAACATTATATAATAATTATTACATAATAATAAATATAAAAAGGCAATGAATTATGAAATTAAATGTGATTTAAAATTTTCAATTGTGACACTTTAGCTAGTTGTGAAGGAGTAAAAATTGAGGTTTTTAAATACTTTACTGATTAATAATTTTTTAATTATGAATAATTCATGTACTTCACATTCATAACCATTCAACCACTGGTTAATTTAAACATCCACTTTTGAATTTTGTAATAACTTAAAACGAAGTTCATTTTATAGTTTTGGTTAGAATGCAACGTTGATAAACCAGATGAAATAATAAATTCAGTATCATTATAACTAGAATATGATTCATTTATTTCATTACCGAAAGATGATGAAGGTACGATAATTATAGAGTCGATTATTATATTAAAGTCATCTGTTTCTTCAATTTCTTCACAATTAGTTCCTTTTGGTGTACATAAGGAAAAAAATACAGCTACTTCTAATAGAAGTTCTTATTATTCGAGATGTTGAATTTTTATTATACTCCCCCCCCCCTTTTTTTGTCTAAAAATACAATATAAAAATAAAAAAAATACAAATAAAATAAATAAACATGTATGAATTTTCCAGAGAATTCTTGTTTAACTGATTTGTTATAAATTACCTTATAACGAATAAAATATTATTTGATTTTTCTCCTTCGAAAAACTGCAGAATACCATTGATAGTTTGCGTGATTCCTTTAAACACCATGGTTGCGAAATTTTTCCGTTTTTAATAATTTTTTAAATTTAAAAAATAATTCAAAGCTTTCAATAAAATTTTTTTAGTATTCCCTGAGTGGGTTAATGTACAGCTATATGGATTGAAACTATAAAGCTACCTACTATTCAAAAAATCAAATAAATTGTTCATAATCTGAATGAAATCATATAGATCATGTTATCTATAATCTGCAATATCAATTGCAGTTTTTCTACAGAGTTAACCAGTTGCTATTACTCAGTAATTAAGATTTCAATTTTACGCACATTTTCTGAAAAAAAGAAGGACGAATGTGTGCATCTGTGATTTTAAAAAGCACTTATTTCCAGACATAATTAAATTTATTATTTGTCAATCACACGGAAATGCTTACAATAATAAATATAAGAACACAAGTGTTGTCGTTTCAAATGACAATCGACAACTGCAATATCATTGATTATAAATACGATAATTATTGTTTTAAAATCAATAGTAGTATGTAGTATTCGGGACTTATTGCACACGAATTGTTGGAAATATGCATACAAATATGCATTTAAAATAACCGAAATATGCTCAAAAATATTTTATAATAGTAATTAAATTTTCTTTTTTAATTTGATTTATTAAATTTTAAATGTAGACAATTCTTTTTTTTTAATTAATTGTTTGACAACAATAGCTCTAAGTTTATAACTACGAATATAATACTACTCTGTATGATTGAATTAATTTTCTTTGTCCTTTTCTCCTACATTGAAAAAATGTTTAAAATTATAAAAAATGTAAAATAATAAAAATGTTAATTTTTAGAATAAATTTACTTCACATAAAGCATAAAAATGAGTAAATATGCTCTAAATAACTATTAAATTTCAAAAATATGCATTTTACCTAAAAAATGGCAAAATGTGTAAAAATATGTGATTCAAATTTCCGTATTTCAGTCCATTATATCATAAAACAAATGTAACATATATCTTTCTCAAATTATAAGAACTCTAGTTGCATGTTACCGAAGATAAAATTAATTTCTAGAAAGACGAATCTAATTTTAAAATTAAAATGATTGTTATTGAAAAATATTTATTTTCGTATTATACTTCTTATACAATACACCTAATCTTCTGAATTGAACTGGAAACTCATTGCAATATATTGGTATTATCGGTAACAATATTTCGGAAAATTGTTTAAGGTATACACGCATATAGGCAGACACGCCGGCACCCATCAACCATTATTAATTATTTTTTTTTAAAATACACTTGGCTGATCAAGTTTAATTTCAAATAAAAGAAAACATACTGTTAAATTTAATTTCACTTACTTTATTAAAAAAAAATTCCCCCGTCAGATGCAAAAATATTTCCTCCAAATTCCTCAACATATTTACAAATAGACAATTGTACTAATTTTACACATGAGTTGGTTTCAAATATTCCAACTAAAATAAAGACAAATAAAAA